GCCAGAGGTCTTCTGTCTGCACTTTGGGTCACAACTACCACAAACCTCAACATACAACATTTATACAAAACATGCTGGTATGCTGAAATATTAAGCCTGCATATTGGTTAAGATAAGAGGCCAAACCATGACTGAAAACATCCAAATTCAACAATAAACAGGTGTCCTAACCAGAGCGATACGGCAAGCAAGGTTGGCATTTGCCTAGGGTCTCGAGTTGAAAGGGGTGGGGGCCCTGAGGGATGACAGTAACACAATCTGTAGCTGCTTCATGTCATCTATTTACTGAACTTCAGCAAAAGATAGGCTATAGCCTATCATATTTTCATAATAAATTAATATTCTAAATCTAAAAGCTGCCACAAAGGCAGTATTATTAAAAACACATTTGAAATTTTCACTGAAAACATGGATGAAATATGACACATAAAATACATGAAACATGTAGTTTTTATGTAGATGTAGTTTAGTCCTGATTTTATTTTTTCAATTTGTTTTTGAGCAGTTGTTTTCTGAAGTGATAAATGTTCAATAGTCACAATGTTTATATTTACATATTTTAAATATAGAGCTGTAAATGATAATGTGCATAAAAATAATAATTTCTGTTCACAATATAATTATTTTGCATGACTCTGGTTAACATGTCAGTTGAAAGTGGGATGTGACTCAGTAGTCCCTCTTACCTTTTTAGTACCACCAAAACAGCTCATGACCATAAAACCTTTTTGGTCATTAATCTAAATTTCCTTCCTATTCTTAAAAAATAACTTTGGTTTCCCACCAGAGTCCAGTTCTGAAGCGGACTCACCTTCACATTTGTGGCTGGTTTCACTCTGACGGTGTCCGGCGGGGCATTTGCACTCGTAGGAGCCGACGGTGTTGATACAGTTTCCTCCAGAACACAGACCTGGTACCGCCTGACACTCATCCACATCTACAGAGAGTGCAGGGAAAAAAAGACATGAAAATAAGAGACAAAATGTGTTAACAGTGGTTTAGAAGAACTTAAGCTGGTTGTTTTTCTTGTAAACCCTGTTTTTCATTTCCTCAGCCTTGTCTCAGTGTGCACTAACATGGCACTGGCTAAAAGACTCCAGCTCTTGTTGAAACAAGAAATGACTCATCAAATGAATGTTTTCATTAGAATTCTCTGTGAGTCACTAATATAAGYGATTTATTGTTAAAATTGTGGATCCCTCTGATCCCGGGTTTATATTGACTTCAGCGCCCATATCCCTGATCGGGATCTAAACATTCTGAGCTAACAGCGTTCAAAAACAACACACGCCAGCCTGTTTCTAATCATCTAAATTATACATTTGCTGTTGATTGTAACAGCTTTAAGTACAGACCAAAGTTAAAGAAATTCGGTTTGTTAAAACGAAGAGTCTGAAGGAGAAAAAYGAGACTTCTGGCCAACATCTTGATGTGGAGACTGGAATCCTTACATTTAGATTCATGATTATGTGTGCTTTGTACTGCTGCCAGACAGACGTTGCTCTTGGCTCTGTGGCGTGTAGGTGTCTTGAGTGTGTGCATGTGTGTGAAAGCATGTGAGTGGAAACTTTAAAAAATGAGGAAACTCACAAAAACTGAGATACAGAATTGGGGGGGTGGGCAGAAATTCTGAAATAACTGGGAGTTTTGTGAGTCTCATWGTACTGAGTTATTATTGTTCTGAACATGGGCCAGGACAGTCTTGTAAATTAGACTTTTAATCTCAATAAGTTTCTCCGTTTTTCAAGCTTTAGCTCTTTTGAAGACTTTGGCTGTTTTTTATTTTTTATCATTTCAAGACACAGTTTGTTTGTTTGTTTATAAAGCCAATTAACTCTGAGTCATTCCTTACTTTTAAGCATTAACTGCACATTGAGCCATCAGGGTCAGGCACAAGAAACGAATAAAAAACATATAAAAAAAGGCAGCAAAAATCTAAGCAAAAGCAGAAAAACCTTCCAAATGTCTGGAAATCTTTTAAATGACTGTTTGGCTCACTAGAAGCAAACAAAAAACAGAAAGCAATAGGGGTGGTTTTAATTTTCAGTTTCTAATTTTAGCTCTGAGTACTGGTTAAGTCTGTTATAAAGGACTTTCTAGCATCTACTTAAATTCAGGTTCTAATTTCTCCATGATTAGACTCCAAACACATGGTTTCAAACATAATGACAGACTTCACAGTTTAGGAACTAAATATTAAAAAATGTGTTAAACAACAAAAAAGTAATACAGGTTTTGATTTCTTGAATTCTTGTTTTTTTCTTTTTTTTTTTTCCCGATTATTTAGGATTCAGCTCCTGTTAAGTTTGCAGCCATTAGTTCATGTTTCATTTAGGAAAATCTTATTTCTTGTTCACCTTGGCTGCTGGTCTGCTCTTAATTGTTGTCATTGTTTTCACCTGTGTCTTGTTAACTTCAATCATACGCTTCAATCTGTCTGCCTTTCTCTTCTGCTCCTCCTCTTCAGCCTGCCTCAAACAGGGTTCCTACAGTTTTAAGGCAAGTTAAATTTAAGTCCTTTTAAGATTTTTTAATGCCAATTGAAATTAAATGTAAGACCAATTTCATAATAAACACAAATGACAAAAAAAACTGGCAGAAACTCATAAACCAAAGTATTTTTTGTTTAAGTATTAAAATATTGCTAGTAGACCATTTGTTTTTATCCCTTTATAACTAGAAACATAGCAGTCAGTTTTAAACTTAATCTAATTTCTGGAAATTTCTTTTTTATAGCAAATTGTGCAATTGTGCAGTGTAAAAAAGCTTTACAKTTCAGATTAGAGTTTATTTTAATCCTTTACTGCAAAATGTTTTTTTTTTCACTATCATGTTGAGAGTTTGACAATGAGTGTTTTTAAATGTCTTCTGGTATCATAGGAAAAAAGAAACTTTTGTTTTTTTCACAAAGGACACAATGTTTTAAAATGGTATTTTTCCAAATAAAGCATGTTTGCTAAGGACATTTGGAAGTTGTTTGTTGATCATTTTCAAAGCCTGTTTTCTCAAACCTTAGTAAAAAAAAAAAGGTTTTGCAAGAAAAATCAAGAAACTTGTCTGTTTGAAGAGCAGTAGGAAGATGACTTGGAAAAATGCTTAAAACAAATAAAACAGCTGAGACAGAAAATGTCCTCAACTGACTCAAGCTCCAAAACAAGCGAGGAATTCACTTTTTTTTGTTCMGAAGACCCTTCATGTTTGGTACATGCCATTCTTCCTCTGTAATTATGGTTTTTCTGTTTACACTTCGGGGTCTTCAAGCCAAACCTCAGGACAACAAAATGAACGTGATGTCACTATTTTTTTTTAAAAATTTACACAACCATTTTATTGCCCAACTATGACTCCCAGCAGTCTAGTAAAACTAAATTTAAGCAGTAAAAGAAAGAAAGAGCTCATTTAACAACAGGAAAAGCTTTCTGTTTCAGTGAGTTCTTTATATGTTATTAGACAACAGGATGTGTTTTATGCACTATATTTAGTTTTTGTTAGAGTATTAATAAACTATTAACTTTGAGGACATAGTTGTTGACAGTTTTGTCCTCAAGATATGATCTTAACAAGGAAGACTGGTTGTGAAACCATCAGAGCTGCGGATGTTGTGCCGCTGGAAGTTTACCTGAAACGATGATGGATAAAGTAATGGTTTCAATGTTTATCATTGTGTGTGTGTCCTTGTTTTTCCTACATCGTGGGGCCCAGTTTTAAGGAAAACGCAGCCTCGTGGGGTCCAGGTGCTCCTTGTGGGGCCCAAAGCCTGGSCCCCACAACTTCAGAGGCTGATTTTGGGTGTGGGGGTTGGGTTTAGGACTAAGGTGTGAATTAAGTTTAGGTTAATTTTAGAGTTAGGTACCTGTGAGGCTAGCTTTAGGGCTGGTGATCAGGGTTAGGMTGTAGAAATTATTGTATACAAATGAACGGTCCTAATAAGGATAGAAATACAAACTCGTGTGAGTGTATTTCAGCACTGCTCTGTGTGTGTTTACAGTTGTTAATAAATAAATCTATAAAATCAAGCATGTGTATCTAAAGTAGAGTAAGATCTGACCTTGGCAGGCTCCGGTGCGGATGTTCGGGATGAAGCCTCGTCTGCAGGGGTGCGGCTGGGCGGGGCACTGCTCACAGGGGTGGCCCCAGGCTCGGCCAATCGTAGCGCAGCACAGAGTTTTGGTGCAGACGATGCCGCTGAGCTGGCCCTGGCACATCTGGTTGTTCACCTGCGTGAAACATGGTCCGGTCCTGTAGTCTGCGGTCAGAGATGGGACATGGATTYTTGGGTTAGGTGGCTGATTAAATCAATGATAGAGCAGTGATTCATTTCCTTGTGCACATCTGGTGCAACGGTAAACAAAACCAGATTAAGCGCACGAGTGAGACATTTCTTCTTGATGTATGAGGCATATTCTTGCCTGCTCATGTTTTCATGTTTTGTTTTTTTGTTCGTAGTTCAAAAAGAAAAGCATGTTGAAGTGGTGAGATTTACAGGAACTGAAGCTGAACAATAAGAGCTGATAGCCACATTACAGAAAATCTCCAACACATTCAGGCATCATTTTGCTAAACTCGTTCCTTTTAACCTGTAAATCATTGTTTCTGTCAGAGTCAAAGTGGCGAGATTAGACTGACAAGTATTAAGCATAATTAAGTTCTCACACTTACAGTGCTTAGATTAGCAATCATCCAATGATGGCAAAACAATTACAAGTTAAAACCTAAAAAACATTTTTCTTTTAAACGCAGCGTACCACAATGATACCCTACATTGCTTTCAGATCTTGGGTTAAAAAGTAGCAAAAATGGCTCCCAGATGTCCAACAGATGTGTAAAAATTCAGCTTCCTTTCTTTGGGTGAAAGCGGGGAGGATAAATGCACGCAGTCATTCACACGTATTGCAACACAAACTRCATGACATTATGAGAACAAAGTGTGCTTAGCTACAGCGATCACTTTCCTCCCMTTGCTGCTTACTCTTGTTTAAAACCATACACAAATCTGACTCGACTACCTCATGCTGGAATGATCGCAGGAATAAGAAAGTTCGYTCTTTCTATCTCGTTCGGCTATAATGATGGCTTCCCTCGTGGGAGATGCTCTTATTAAATTCTTTGCTGTGGCGCCAAACCTAATGTAGCCTTCATTTTAAAGGAGATAGTTAAGATTTTCACGGCGCAGATGAAAGGCAAACTGCACGGTTGGCTAGCCAAGGCGGTGAAAGCTGTCTTCGGCTCTGAAGGACAAAGTGAGATGGGATGATACGATTCTGTGGTCGCGTCTGTTGGGAGTTGTTCCCTAAACTTATTAGTTCCTGGTGCAGAGGAAAGAGGGTCACAGGCCAAAGAGCAGGAAAGGTAGAAAGAAAAGATGAGGATTAGAGCAGAAAGTAGGTCAAACTGAACCTGGTTCTCCTTTTCATTCAGCTGTCTTCATTTGTCTTTGCCCACTTCCTGTCTGTATTCTCACTTTCTCCTCTTTGATTTCCTGTCCTCTTCTGACCCTTACTGGCACCATGTGCAGACTAATACGTCTTTAATCAATAATTAAAAAAAAAAAGAGCGGAGGCAACATAAAAGTTTCCCTTAATATTTTAGCACCATGTGCATGCATGGGTGAAACTTTGCTCAGTTGTCAGAAGTGAAAAATGGAGATGTAAAAAAACTGAACAAAATGACTGGAACATGTTCATTTGGCTCAGTTCACCAAAAAGATTCYCTTTCAGTTCTTAATTTAGGACTAGCAAAGAGCTGATCAGGAGCTGAAAGAGCCAAGTTCAGCTGTGTACCAGTTGTACTCTGGACTCAGTCGAAATTTTGGACTTCCAAGTTGGAAATATTAACTGGAACAAACCCCTAATGTTGTAATTTTGAGTCGGGAAGTTGGTATAACACGACCATGCCTGATGTCATCATTTCAACATGGCCGCTCCTCACAGCAACAAAGAGAACTCTTACTTTTATGGTTTTTAGCAGTTCTGTGTTTACGTTACTTTAAGTGTGCTGTACTTTTAGTACTTGATAGAGATTAGATATGTTTTAATGCTGTTTGTACACTCAAAATGCAGTGTAGAGCACTATTGTTGCATTATTGTTGCATTATTCCATCAGAGCAACAAATAGAAAAACTTTTCTGACGTTCTGACRAGCTGGAAACTAATACGCTTTCAACTCAGTCGAGTTTCGTTGCAACTGGAACATAGCATTAGGACAAATTCAATAACCATCTATCATTTTCCTTCTAGTAGCTGGTCCCCATTTTCAGTAGTCAACTGGGGCCTCATGCATCAACGGTGCGTACACACAAAAACCTTGCATACGCCATTTTCCACACAAAACTCCGRATGTATCAAAACTGAAACGAACGTGGAAATGTGCGCAGCCCCAYGCCAASTCCAGGGYTGGCGTACGCACGTTTCTGTGGTTTTGGTTCYATTGGCAAMACTTAAAGGTGATTCTGAGAAACTGTTCATGATGTAAAAATGATTATTGTTCACAGCAGACACACATGATTAACAATTATTTCATCCACATGGACGCAGTTAGATAAAGGATGCACAAAGTTGTGCCAAAAATTCCTTTAACAGGAACAGATTCAGYCTYACTGGAGTATATAATAAATAGTGTAACACGMAGAGCTTTTATTTATAAATAGAATTTTCTGATCCATGATGATGAGTGGCTCATCAGCCGTTTTCAGGAATAATCCTTTTTCAGTGTGGCACTGCTGCGCTCTGGAGCGCGACACAGTGAGGAGCCGTGTGCGCCACGCGTGCACGTGCAGCAGCAACTATCAAACTGGGGTTCCACAGGAGAAGGCAGACCCATCGGGACTGTGTCAGTCCAGTCAAAGCCAAATCATGCCYAATGAAACGGTCTCATCCATATGATTCTGAAGGTTGAGTTTTGGTCGCGCAAAGAAGCGTGTGCACCCTCGCCGGCAGTGGAGGTGTTTCATACTTGTTGTACTTGTTGTACTTGTTGTGCATACGCAGTTTTCTGAATTTGATAGTACGCCATGTTTTAGTATGAAATCCACGCAAGTCTTTGTACATGAGGCCCCTGGTGAGAGTATGTGCAGATCGGTACTGAAACATTGATACCATTGAAACCAGAAACTTTAAGCTCTAAAATAATTTTTAAAATCAAAATATCAATACTTTGATACTTCAGTCATTTCAGATAATGTGCCTCATTAACAAGAACACAGTAGAAAGTTACTAAACTATTAAAATCTTGTCTGAATCATATGTGGTTGGTGGGARCTACTTTTTCTTCCGGCTGAGTGATGCAGCCATACTCTCAGTCACTGCCAAATGTTCTGTATTTTCATGTTAACATGTTCATATAACAATATAAGATGCAAGTTCTCATTTTTACGGTAGTTGTTGATAATTAAACAATAATTTATTTTAATTGTTTTCATTACTTCATTTTTTATTGTTTAAATAAAACTATTTTGTATGATTGTGTTCTCGATTTGGTTTTTCCTTTGTATTATCTCAGCCAAATTGTAAATGAGGACGCTACATCAATATATGTTTGAGTTTAAAATGAATATGTAAATTACTCTTATGTTTTGTATTCTTCGTGAAACGATGATTTAAAATAAACTATTTAAGATGTACATATTGGTTCAATTTGCGCAAAATATCAGTATCGAATTAGTATCGCCGATACCAGCTTGTCAATTTCTAAAACCTTAAGTAAATTTTAAATAGTCTTATGAAAACAGTGC